ACAACAGCTCAACCTGGAGCTGGGCTGCCATGAGTCGCCGGCGACGGCGTGGGCTGCAGTCCCTGTGGCAGTGGATTGCCATGGGCTACCGTGTGTGGCCAGCAGCCAGCGTGAGCGGCCAGCAGCCGCAGTGAGCGGCCGTCCAGATGCCGGCGACTGATCTGCCTCGCCAGAGAAGAGCGCAATGATGGTGCCAACTTGGGCCAGTGAAGCAACATCCTCCACAACTAGATTGAAGAATAAAACGACAGCAACTTGTCTGTTCCCCTTTCCCCAATTCCCCAGCACTGTTCCCATCCCCCCAATTCCCCAAAAAAAATCTTTAAAAAAAAAAAAAAAAAAGAACAATGAATGGGAAGGTGATAGATTACTACTGCAGGCACCTATGGCTGGAAGCCTCTCAAGTAAGAGATGAGAAATTTGAGGAACAAATAGATAAAAGGCAACAGACTCCATGCGAGGCAATAAACAAGGGGACACTTAGTAATAAGGCACAACGGCAGTCATGGGTGGCAAACACTACTTAACACACTGCTTAATTGTTTAAAAAGAGATACATAAGATATACCATGAATATGCTTCTTGCTAAAATGTTTACACTTTTTAAAAAGCTGAGGCCTAAGGAAGAAAATCCTCAGCTACCTGTAAAACTCAGCCCCTCTGATGGACTTATGTTCTGGATAGCTGAGATTTTAGTATTGTTGATGAGGCAGGACTGATAATAAAGAGCAAGTGACAGGATGTCATGAAATAGTGGGTTGTCTGCCACCTTTTTTGATAGGTCCCAAGGGAAAGGAAGTGATTACAAGCTCTACCAGTGAAAGAATGGTTAAGGATTTGTGCTAGGCCTTGAAGCTGGACTAGAATTCCAATAGGTGGTGGGGTTTCACATTGATTAAATATGTCCATTTTTTTTATCCCTTTTCCCCCACTTTCTCTCTGGAAAGCGTTCCAAGGAGATGGACCCCTTGGGGGTAGAGATTCTAAAAGGGGACACATATTGGTGCCAAAGCAAAATCTTCTATCTTCACCATTTTTCTCAGGACCACCTTCCATCTCTCTCAGCATCTTCCTTTCTCCAGCCATTCTGAGTCAAGCTATTCTGTTCCAGCGTGAAGTGCAGAGCAGAGTAAGGCAGTAGGAGCCGTGTCCTAGGCTCAGGTTCTGGAGTCTTATGAGCTGGGTGACCTTGAGCAAGATATTGAACCTGGGCTCCTGGAGCTGACACCAGGAATCACAAAATCACAGCCACGAGTCAGCAGGACAGCGCAGGCGATGAGTATTTTCTCAACCACAAAATCCTGTGAGGGATGGTTTAAGTGTTAGTTTTCCACTGAGTAATACGATTCTTCAGGATTCCTGTTTTCTCTTCACAAATCTAGTACCTCGGGGACCCGATTATAGGAATGAGCTACTCTTTAAGACTTTAAATAACTCAGCAGCAATAGCGTGGCTGTGATTATTATTATTACATGTGGTTTAAGTCTCAGCATGAAGAGCAAGTAATTGAAAAAACCTTCTTTCCAGCGTTTGCCTTAAGAAAGTATCAAAAACAGGTATTATTTGGTTGATCGTGTGAAATGTGCTAGGAAATTATAAAAATTTAGATGGCAAGACTGAGAAAGGGAACAGTAATGACACCAAGCCAGTCTGTCTGGAGGTTTGAGGAGAGGCTGGTATTGATAGATGATTGCCCATTCGAGCCATCATGGCTTTTTAGGTTCAAGTGGACAGGCTGGAAACCCTTATCAATTGTGGTGTGGTCACTTATCCAAGATGAGCCTATCACGCCTGCCCATCCACCACTCCCTTGACCAGGGAAGGACTGCTGTGTGTCACTTAGAACTGTGCTGTGCTCGGGTTTCACCCCTAGTGAGAAGGAGCTCATGGTTCTCATTGGGCTGAGAGTGGATTTCATTCCGTGTCCCCTGGGGAAATCTGCAGATGTCCAGGGTGCTTCTTATCCTCTCTCATCATCATTCATCTTTGTCCCTTCCAACCCCTCCTCACCACTGGAGCACGATGGTCTGTTTACAATGCAAATCTAACCACTAATCGTCCATTGTTCTCTAAGTCCTCTAGAATAAATCCTGAATTCCTTAGCAGGGACAGCGAAGCCCTCTGTGATCTGGTCCCCTGGTTAGTGACTGCCAGTCTCCAACTAGCAATTGATGCTTTAATAATGTCAGAGTACTTGAAATCCATGTGCCCCTCTCCCCTGATCCTGCCCGATGCCTCCGTGCCTTTGCAGCTGCTCTTTATTGGAGCATTCTTCTACACTCTCCTTACCTGGCTAGTCTTCCTTGGTGTTCAGGACTTAACGCAGACATCTTTTCTAATGACCTTCCTTATTAGTCCACAGTGGGGCCCAGGAAGGTTGTGCTCTGTGCTCTCATGAAACTGTGCAGGCCTCTTTACTTGTGGTGGCACATGGAAATGATCTGTTTATGTGATGCTAGAATATGGGTTTTTTAAAAACAAGGACTGTGTTTTGTTTATCTCTAAGCCACGAACACTTAGCAAGAGACCGGGCAGCCTACACAACAAGCATGTGTCACATTGAACCATTAGTTGTATCTCTAGAATATTTCTACAGCGAGGTGCATCTGTTGGCCCAGTAATGGAGGTCTACCTTGATTACTGGACAAAGGGGAGCACTGAAGTGCTTACTAAGTCAGTATGGATAAGCTGGTTATTGTCTCCATTTTCTACTGATAAATGTCCTACGTTTCAGAAGCCATTTTAATGTTTCCTCTGTTCCTTGCATCATCACAGGCATTATGGGGACCCACCAGTGACCGGGCGGAATATCTGCCATCAAAGAGTTTGTTTCCTAGGGCACAAAGTTAAATATAAATGCTGCAAGAGAACTCACAGCCTTGGGGTTCCAGTGACTAGACAGATTGCCTGCTCTTGAAACAGTCAGAAAAGACTTCGTAGGATAAGACGCACACCAGATAACCTTGGACAATGGCTAAGATTTTGAAAAGTAGACACTGGGGAGAGGTAAAGGAGGGATGGGGAGATGACACAGTCCAGCCAGAGGAAATACTGAGGGCAAAGAGTGGGGAGAGCCCTGAGTGTATGTGGGAAACAAGAGCTTAGCTGGTGGTTCCCGACTTGATGCTAATGTGACTCATTTTCCACCAGTTCCCCCACCTCTATGCTCCAGCCACCCCAACTCCTTGCTCTAGTCCAGTGGTTCACAAACTTGAGTGAGCGTCAGAGCATTCCAGAGAACTTGTAAAACAGATTGCTGGACACCATTCCAGCTACTGAATTTCTGATGCAGTAGGTCAGATAATGCTGAGGATCTGGTCTGGGGCCATGTTGGGAAACCACTGCCAAGCTTTTGTGTTGACAGCGCCATGACAAATGCCTGAAGACGTGCTCCCCACTCTCATCCCAGACCCTGTAGGAGACGGACCTCAGACCCCACCCGGAGCCTCAGGCTCTGGCGCAGCAACTGCCCCTGGAAAGCACAGCCAAGCGGCCACCACCATTTAAGCTGGAGAGCAGGTGTTGTTTCCCCATCGTCCCGGCAAATGAAAGACTAGCTCGAACCATCTGGTCCTGCGACACCCTCCTACAGCACTGCTTCAAAGCAGCCCAACATATTTTCTCTTCCGTCTTGTCGATAAAATACTGCTCCTCGGGGCTGTCGGCTTGTCACATTTGCAGGCCATACACCAAGTTGGAGCCATGAGTGATGCAGCAAGCGGAGGACCGTGGGGGCAGCCAGCCCCTCAACCTTTTGCTGCCGACACTGTGCACCCCTCCTCTTGGGGAAGATTCTCTAAACGGATGCTTTAAAGTATTTTTTAGAAGTAGAAACAAAATGTGTCCCCCCCTTTCCTGGCCACACTGCCCTTTCTGTCCTGTTAATTTTGCTTTGCCATATGACAGTGAAGAATCAATGTGTAGCATTTCTAACAGCCAGGTAGAGTGTGTATACATTTATTAAGATTAATTAAAAAGTAACAAATTGTAAAGTAATAACATTAACAACCAGTAGAGAAAGTGTAGACGTTTTGACAGTCTTTTTGAATTTCATTAAAAGATGGTAGTGACAAAAACCCCAGAGACTATTTCTACTTTACTAAAGAAATAGGTCACAGATTCAATTACAGTCACTGAAGCATGGACTCAATCTATCATGGCAAATTAAGTACATTTTAGCAACCTACTTTCCTTTAAAAATTTTATAGACACTTTCAGTGGAAGAAGAAAGACGAGAGAGAAAAAAAAAGAAATTGCAAAACCAAGTCCCACCTTTCCTCCCCCTCAGCTCTGAGTAAGCATTTGGCTTATTTTCTTGGGGTAGAAGACAGAAAATCGTTAAGAAAGACTCAACTCAGTCACAATTATTACTTTTTGCTTGTTCATGGTTTAATGATGCAGATTTGGAATTGGGAGTAGGAAATGGCTCCAAATTAGAATCGTTAGTCTTCCAAGGGGGGCTTTGTTCTCCAGGCTGAGCCCCACCCCCCCCTTTTCTTGAAAGAGGACTGTTTGTACTTTGCAGCTTTTATGAAAATTTTGCCTTAGACTCTCAGAGCAGACATGTTGTGTTCAATTCTGGAAAGATAAATAAATAAAAAAATAAAAAAGTGCTCATTCAGCCTGTGGATATGGTTTAGCCAAGTGAAAATATTGGGACAATGAAACACCCTTTCGCCCATAGCGAAATTGATTTTATGTTGACAAGTGGCATCTGTGAAGGGCCTCTCGATGAAGCAGCAGGAGCCATCTTGAAGACACTGCAGCCCAGCAGCTCTTGGAGAGGATGAGACGGTGAGACCTTCAGGTTTCTTCCCCTGTGACAGGTAAGAAAGTGGGGCCAGGACGCTCACAACTTCGGAATCTGCCGTTTGGCCTGGTCGGAAAGTGTCAGACACCCAAGTGTAGGCCTTCTTCCTAAAAAGACAGTGCTACCAAGGCACCTACTTAGTTTAGTGCTGGTGTTTCTTATCCCTCCACATTCTGGTCTTTTCCCTTAGAACTCTGGCTGGCCTTCTCCTGGTGCCTCTGTGTGACGGGCACAGACGACGTGAGCAGTTGCGTTTGCTTCCAAGAGAAGTGATAGAGGAGCTTCGTGCATCTCCGAATTATCTGGCTATTGCTCAATCAAACAAGAGCCTCTCTTGAGCCAGCCAGGAGACTGAACTCACAGGTAGGAGCCCGGAGAAACTCATTGCTAATTTTGATTTCCAAGTTGTAACTTCTTTCGGGATTAGGTTTAACTGTAGCTGGTAAGGTGAAGATCTCACACGGCCACCATCACCCTTCAAAATATTGCACGTTCATAGGCATCCACAGCCCGCTTGCTTGGTCACATAGATAACCGACTTAAGAGCCAGCAGCGCTCCCTCCAGCATGAGTTCCTCCAGACAACGGAGTTAAGACAGATGTGGGCTGATGTGTGTACCTGTGGACTGTGAAACTGATCCGTGAGCTTGCTCCCAGAAAGGGAGAGCCATGCGCTGGGGGCTGGCTCGTGGGACTAGAAGGTGACAAACTGAGGCCGCAGGTTCTCCGTATCAAGATCAAGGGCACGTGTCGGCGTTCGTCCGTAGCAGCCGGGCTTGACCTTGACGATGAGAAGGGAAAAGCAGCTGTGTGCTTCGGTGGCCGCCTAGCCTCCCATCAGAATGGTGTGCTTGCTACGTTTCCTGCTTCTCCTGCAGCAATGCCCGTTGCAGCTTCTATGTCTGAACCCGTGCCCACGACCAGGCCGGTGCAAAACACCCTCAATAGCTAAATATACTTACAAATTATAATATACACAGTAATGTGTACTATAGAAAAAATGTTATATGTTAAGTATGATTTTACTTTTATTTTAAATTATACTCAGTGCAGTGAGATAGTTCCACTATGAGAGGCCCCTGGGAACTGAGACCAAAGGAAGAGCTATTCCCATCTCAAGTTCACTTGCTGAGTATGGAAAATTCCAGTATAGACAGCAAGGCCCTGCTCCCAGGGGTTTTGGTTGAACTCATCTGGGGTGGGTCAAATAGTTCACCCATCCAAGCAAGATATTTGACCCACCCCAGATGAGTTGTGTTTTAAGGTTTGTCGTTTGATCAAACATATAGCATTGGTTGGATAGCATTGATTTATATTGTTTTTCTTTCTCATTATATACTTCTAAATTTGCATACAATAAAATCATTTTCAACATGACTCCCTAATACTCCTCTCTGCTGTCACCTGGGGAGCCATCAACTTCCAATACTTCCGCAACTTCCTTATTGCTGAGAAGCACTCTTCCTGAGTCTGAGAGGTGAAGATGGTGCTAAGCATGGCGCGTCTCTACTCGGGGCTTCTGACTACACACGAACACACATTTGCTCAAAATGACAAAACAGATAGCAGGTGAGGCTACCCAGGAAGACAAGTGCTTAGCTTTGCAACCCCCAGAATGATGTTAAGCCTCTGAGATCAATGCTGACAAGACAAGTATTGGAGAACAGCCATATGAAGTCAGGAGTCAGTGGGATAATCTCTAGAAATATTGTAAAGGACAGATCAAATCTCGGGATAACACCATCTTTTTCTTGTTTGAGTTTTGAAAAGACATAATCGGAGGGTGCACTAAGCTTAGCGTCCTTGGGAGATGCTGCAGCATAACGCTTAGGACTGTAGACCCAGAAGCTTGATTACCCGTATTGAATATGCACTCTGCCACTTGCTAAGTGGTCTGGGGCTTAATCCCTATGTGCCTCAACTGCCTCATCTGCAAAATGGGGACAGCAGTCATCCCTCTCACAGGGTGGTTGTGAGGATTCGGTGCCTTAATACATGTAAGTTGCTTAGCTCGGGGCTTGGCACAGTGTGCTGAAGAAGTGTAGCTATTGTCATACTTGTTTGTACCATCGTAGGCATTCGGTAGGTGGTCATAATTGTTGAGATGGCCCATGCTGTATCTTCAACTACACTTTCTTTTTGTAGCTTAAATAATAGCAGATCAAAAGGCATATTTTCAGAAAGAAAAATATTGACATCTCTGGTGGACCATTGCCAAGACAACATAGTAAAGTGGATTTGGAACTGGGAAAACCGTACCTTTCGGCGTCCTATGAGTGACCTTGGTCACGTCTTTGGAACTTTTTGAGCCTTAGTTTCATTAAATGAAAGCAGTTCTATATTTGTCTTGCATCCTTGAGTGGGATTTTCATTAGGGTCTTATGAAAAAACTCTCGTTATTTATGTAGCACTTATTTTACTAGAGCCCTTCTCATAAATCATTGCATTTAAGCCTCATGCTGACACTTTGAGACAGATATTATCATCCCTAATTTACAAATGAAGAAATGGAGGCCAGGAATTTCCCAGAGCCACCAAACTCTTAGGCAGCAAGCACTTCAGGCCCTCCCCAGTTCGGCAGTATTTCTCATGGACAGTAAGTGCATCATTTCAGAAAACGATATGAGGGGACATACTTAGGAAATTATAGTGTATGATGTAAATGGGACGTTGCATTAATTGGAGCGTCTCCTTTGGATACTATGTAGAGAGAGAGGTAGACAGCATAGAAACAACGGATGTCCGCTACAAGAGCCACTCTCTCATCATTCAGCAGCAGTGAAGTTGGGACCCCAACAGCAACTGGACCTCTCTGCTCAGTGTTGACTCGGCGGAGGCATTGTGCTGTTACACTGCTGACTGCTTTGATCACTTACCCATCCTTCCATCGCATTGCTGGTTTTCACTTCGGGGTGACACATCGCTGACCTATTAAACAGTCCACATGGAAATTAATTAACTAATAATTGCCTCCAGCATATAACAGTGAATTAGAGCTCAGGAAGTGAAACAAAGGTCTCTGGAAAGTAGACTAAGCAGTCAAATAGCTGGTTGGGTTATTCCCTTCCATAAGTCTCATTCTGCCTTCCCCTCCCCTCCATCCCTTGATGAACTTGGCATAGCAACAGAGCACAGCTGGACTGCAGTATGGCTTGAGAAGTGCACTCATAGCCTGGGATGTTAGATGAGCTTCAATTTGTTCAAACCACTTGTGACTCCAGGCAGCAGTGTGAAAAATGAGAAATTTAGTTACCTATATAGATAGTAATAGCAACAGTCATACCTTGAAATTCTGTAATATTTTTCAAGTTACTATGCACATTCACACACATTTCAGGCAATTTTTACAACGATTTGGTGAAATAGACAGGATTGTTATTCTTATTATAGAGTAAACAAAGCTGAGACTGGGGGATTTTTGGCCTGTCCTCTCCCACCGCTGGTCAGGGACAGACTCATGCCCTTGCTAATCCTGTCTCTGTGCAGACTCCTGGTTTACCAGGGCCACCTTTCTGGAACTAGGCTCCCTTTTATTTTGGGAACTCCTAGACTCCCAACTCTAAGCATTCACATCCAGCTACCATGTTCTTATCAGACCGTATCCTTCTGACCATGCTTGATTGATGTGGGGTCGGACATCTGACCCACTGTAGGTCAATCTTTCCTGAGACTTTTTCAAATTGGAAATGGGAGATAAAGTCAGGGAGTTTCCAATAAAGGAAGCTTAGACAGGCATGATTTTTGTTATGTTGATAAAGGTGGTTTGAGGGGAAAGGATGAAGCTGACAGAGAAGCAGAGCTGAGAGAAAGAGAGAGGATCTTGGCAGCTCTGAAGTGCTGTTCTTAAGACCGCGTCCCTTGGGAAAATAGTCTTACAATAAATTCTCTCTCTTTTCCCAGTTCTCTTCAACATGCCCTCTTAGTTCTGAATGAATAAAGGGAGAGACGCTAGCCCTAAAAATCATCTTGATCTGTGTCAAAAAGATGACTCAGGTTTTCATGTTTGTTCTTGCTCTGTAGCTACTTATCTAACTCATCCACACAGTTGTGGACATATTGAATATGATGCAGAGAACAGAACAAGGTTGCTAATTAGTTAAGCAGATCATACATATTTAAGATCTCACTGTAGAAATTGGCTCATAAGTGTTCCCTCCATCCCTACCAAATCAGTATCATTCAAAACCATGAGCATCATTAGCTTTGACTTGACATAGTAGATAATTACATCCCCGAACAGGTTTTAGTGAGATATCATTTCTCTGCTTTTTAAATCAAGGTTCCAAATCCTTAATGTCATAGGAATATTTTTTATTGGTTTAGAGTCCATAATATGGAGCCAGGTTTAAAATCTTAGCTCTGGTATTTACCCTCTGGGTAACCTTGGGCGAGTTTCTTTATGCCTCAGTTATGTCACCTGTAAAATGGGCAATTATAATAGAGCTGTTTCCTGTGGTCATATAGAAGCTAAATAAGTTAGTATCTGTAAGGTGCTTAGAATGGTTCTTGGGCATAATACTTGCTGCATAAAAATCAGCTATTGTTACTATTTAATGAATTTTTATTTTTTAATACCTTTCGCAGGGGATGAACTCACATATAATTATTACAAATGAATATGTTAAAAGTTGCTCTTTCAAATGTCAAGAGTTAAAGCATGACCTTTAAATAGAAGAATATTTCAACATAATTCTCAGGAGTTAAATGAAAGGTATTGAAAAACATAACTAATGGATAATTTTAAGTGATTCTGTGTAAAGAACATTCATGATACTACTGAGTAATAAAGGAAGAGAGATTTGGGCCAGGAGTTCCTGAAACTTCCATATTTAGGATAAGGATATTTCTAAGGACTGGGGATTGAGTATACTTGTATTATCACACATTTGGAGACAGTTGCTCTTTAATTTGAGCTTCGTTGCGAGCATCTTGGAGATGGGGACTAACGTGTTTGTATCCCAAACACTAAGCAAAATTCCTGAAGAGCAACCGTGGTTCTGTTTCATATTATATACTAAAAAGACTCTTTTCTATTGATTGTGCATTGTTGTCACAGAACACTGGTGGCAGAGGTCATGAGTGGAGCTGAGGTGGTACGATTGACAGCCTCACTCTGATGGAGTTAACTAAAGATTTTTATGCCTGGAAAGAGAAGGGGGAAACTTTTCATATTGTTCTTTCTTTAAAGCCCAGAAGCATTATGGGTACACATGAGTGATTTCTTGTAGAACTTAAGATGTTAGGACAATAACCAGAGCGAATTATTTTTACATGAGAAAAATGGGACAGTAAGTTAGTGATTCCTGTTGAGAGAGAAAGTGAGGGAAAATGTGCTGGTGTAGTAGGAATTCTATTTCTTTTAACTCTTGCTCCTTGGGTCATTCTATGTCCAACTCTTACTGTGAGTAGTTAACTGTCACTTTTATAAAACTGCATGTTTTATACAGGAAAAATATAATGTTTGGACCATGACACCCAACTAGCCACATCCAAGAAACTGTTTCAAATTTTCGTGCACTCACTACCCTATTTGATAATATCTTTTGGACCATTATAAATGGCATCCTGCGGGAAATTAGGCAGGTATTCTTTATAAGGGTTTTCTTTTCAATTCAGCTCCATAAAGCAATGGCAGGCGTTGCATTTCAGAACTCTTAGCTCTTTTATAATGTATAGCAACATTTTAGATTTTTATTTGATAATTCTTAATCGTCTGCTATGCAAATGAGACCAATTAGCCAGTCCTGAAAACCAGCGTATAGACCCACGTGTAGGGCAAGTTCGCTGTGAACTATGTGGGGTGTGACTGGCTAACTTCTGAGAGATTTGAGATCGGTGGAGTAGAGCTAATGGGAGATTCCTGCAAATGAGGTACATGTAACTAACAAACACTCACCCATTTTGGAAATGTCGATATAGAGCCTGTTTTCTGGCAGACAGCTCTTTCTTTCACAGCTACTTAAAACTAGAACTAAAATTGCCAGCAGTATAATTCTTACATTTGTATAGCACTTATATTAACAAAGGCTTTCATGTCCATTATTACCTTTAATTCTGGGAAAACACAGTGAAATAGGGAGCTCTTACCACCCCTAACACTTGTACTAATGAGGAAACTCTAGCTTGGAGAAATAAGTGGTTAGGTAGATAGCATATGCTCCCAGGTTGAATTTGATAGCCTTTCTCCTTAGAGATGTTAATATAAAGGGCCTCACAAGTTTCCAACCCAAGAAGATTTCCTCTTCGTTCATTTTTCTCACCGTTAGCTCCTTAATACCTACCAGCTCTAAAAGTTTGC